TGGCTTGGCAGGAGAGGAATGATCACCAAAGCTGGTCCTTTTGACCTCATCCAGGCATGCCCTCTGCCTGGTTGGGTCCTCTTCCCCACCCTTTCAGCAGGAGGCTGTTTAAACTGTGTGAGTGAGAGAAAGAAGATGCTGCTTAGAGGTATTCTGTTTTCTAGACACTGAGCTGGGATGATACCTAGCTCTGCTCATCACTTTGAGAGGGATGACCTTACTCTAGCATTCACCTAAGAGTAAAGACAACAAACAACACCAAACATCTCCTAGCACCAGATCTATAGCTCAGATTCCCACCATCAGTGAGATTTCCTGCCCAGAGCTCTGTTGGAAGGAGTGTCTCTGTCCCTGTCTCTCTGTCTCTGTTTCTCTCCCCCCCCCCTCCTCCCTCCTCCCTCCTCCCTCCTCTCTCCTCTCTCTTTCTCCCCCCTGTGTGTTCTCGGCTGATTTATAGGCACTTTGTGGATATCAGTACTCTGAAGGAAGAGTGGGTTGGGGGCAGGGAATTGTTGTGATCAGGGGCCTGATTAGAACAAGGACCTAATCAGCACAATTTATGAAGGTGTTTTGTGCAAGAATTTGTGGTAAGTGATTTAGGGTGGGAGGTGTTGTGAGAGAGAGTAGGGAGAAAAGGCCACATTGGTATCTGACAGTTTAAAGCCAGGGCGGTTGCAGAGATGTTAGATCTTGGAAACAACTGTCAACAATGCTCCTCTGAGGGCATCTGGCCTGAGGGTCACAGAGGGTCTCAGAGGGAAGACAGAAGCAAGGACATGGCAGCCATGGCAGCCCCTGTGTGGGTCCCTGCATGCAGACAGTAGTTAGGGAACATGCTTAAAAAGCATCTGTGAGCCCAGTTCCCCTTCTCCTCTTATGCCCAGTGTTTTGGGAATTATATGTTGTAGGAACTGCATTATGACAGTGTAAAAAATTCTAATTTGAAATAGGAAGACCTCAGGTGAGTCACATGACCGTCTGAGTTTTCTCATATGCAAAATGAAGGCTGGTAACAGTTCCTTGACCATTTCACAGGACTCTAGGGTCCAGTGTGGTGAGGAAAAGTGGTTTGTAAAGAAATGCAGATGTACATTTCGTTGCTATTACATGGCAGTTTGCTCACTTGCTTAATGCTGGAGTGGGGACAGGGGCCAAAGCTGGGAGCTGGGATTGGTATGGAAGTTATGACATTACTGAAAGCCCATAAAGCTGATTTGGTGGCTTTAGAATAAAAGCACCTGAGGGCAGAGGGGCCTGGGACTGTTGTTACAGAAACCCTTTGATTTGAAGAAATATTAGTTCAGTGTGTATTCTGCCTATACTCATGAGCTCTGGACTTGACCAAGCAGGTTTTTTTCTTTTTTTGTGGTACTGGAGATTGAGCTCAGTGCCCTCACATTGCCCTCAGCTCTTTTAAACTTTTTTTTTTTTTTTTAAATTTTGAGACAGGATCTCACTAAATTGCCCAGGCTGGGCTTAAACTTGCAGTCTTCCTGCCTCAGCCTCCCAGAGTGCTGGGAGGTACAGGTATGCACCACCATGCCCAGCTAGGTTAAACCACCACTTGGCTGGGTCATCTCTGGGAATTCCATGGCCTTCTCTAGGGTGGGCTAAAGAAGCCAGGAAATGGGCTCTAGTCCCATCAGTCATTCTGGTGCCAGAAACCCAACAAGAATGGCCTTGAGATAGGCATTGGGGAAAGTGCCAGTTTCAGGGAGGGTGCCACTTGGGTGGAGGTGGGGCAGGCGCTACTGTTTGGGGCCCTTTATGACCTAGATGTTGCCAGAGGTGGTCCCTGGCCCAGTGACCGCCAAATGCCCTATGGGAGGAGGAGGATGAAAGAGACGGGATTCTCGTAAATTTTTAATCTGAAAAATAAAGAAAGTGTGAATTAGAATTAATGCAGGTATTAAATATTTAAACTTTCTGTACTCACTTTCATTTTTAACATATTCCTCCCTCAAAAGCTTCCATAACGCTTGTCAGATTTGTTATCAAGATGTCCCTGTCTCTCTGCCTCCCCCAGGCCCAGCCCCAAAGTCAGAATGCAGGTATTCATCAGCCTGATGGAAATTTTCATTTTATTTCTCCTAAAGGAAACATCTGATTCTCTCTCTCTCTCTTTATATTTATGCTTTCTCTATATGGCAGCATAAATAATTAATGCCATTATAAACACATCCTATGCAAAATATTTATTAGAAAAAATAACTATTTAATTTGGCATGTCATTTAATTCCAATCATAGCACACAGGCTACAATTAATGCCAGGGCTGGGGAATCCAGTCTGACTGCTAAAACTTGCAGAGGTATGGAAGAGTCTCCTATACTGAAGCCTCCTTGGCCCTCATTGTTTATTATTTTCATGAGTTTGGTTGATGGCAGCAGATGGCATTTACTGTCCAGTGTGGGGCTGGGAGTGAATTTGGAAACAAGACAGGAAAACTCACTCTCTTCAGTGGAATGAGGGTAGGGGTGTTCCATGTCCCTTCAAGTGCATTTGGTAGTATTCATTCAAAAGGCTACTGGGACATTCAGATGCAGGGTATTTGTTACATCTTCATGGGGGTGGTGATGATGGTCATTGTCGGAAGTCTGATGAGTTCTCCTGCCTTGGGGCATAGTAGAAATAGGTTCCTAGATGTTGGGTTTCATGGGTGTGTCATTCAGCAAATATTTAATGAATGTTCTATATGTGCTATGCATTTAGGTGGGTACTGGAGATACTGCACTAAAGAAGATAGAGGATGGAGATAAGACTATCCAGCTTCTGAATATTCTGCCATTGCCTCTGCTCATTCCCTTTCTCTGTTAAATGAACTTTCTGGCTAGTATAAGGAATCTGTGTTTCAGAACATCTCCACGCCCCAGGTTTTAAAGACTCAAGGCTAATTTCTAGTAACTTGGTGCTCCTGGATTTATGAATTCCCGTGAGCTTAGCTTGTTTTGTAAATAAGACTGCAACTACCACTTCCCACTCTCTTCTGGAAGGGAGTTTGAAAACTACATGATGCATCAGCATTCTTCTCTCCTGCACTCTTGGATGGTCGTCCCTCTTCAGTTAGGGGAGGAGCTCCTTTGGGATCCTGCCATGACATACTTGAGCATGTGTCACTTCTAGAGCCAGACTTTGAGCTAAAGCCTTGGAGGCTTTCGTTTCAGCTTTAATGTGGCATTTGTTAGCCTTTCCTTCTATCAAATATCTTCTGTTACGGTCCCCATCCCTGGCATTACTCAGTGTGTGTTCCCAAGCTAAAAATCTCCCATTCATTTGTGGGCTAGACTCTTGTCAATTCCATCGTAAGGTACAGAATAATGAGGGTACAACTAATGCCCTGGAAAAAAATTGTCATTTTTTTCAGTTAGCAGTTTGCCACTCTGGAAGGCCAGTGTGCCCTCCTCAGTTCGTAAATTAACTGAGGAGAAAATGAAAACAAATTGCACCCAGCTCCCAGCCCACCTTTCCAGAGAGGCATCCATACTTTCTGCATTTTGTGTCTTCCAAAATAGGATGGTGAGAAAAAACATGGAAATTATAACTGGCACCCTACTCTTTTCCCCACATTGGGCTCCTAGATCACTCTAATTCAGGAAACTGCTGTCTGATCTGAGAGACTTCCAGGTGTATCAAGGGGCTCTTGTTTGTCTGGGACCAATAAGCCTGGACATTGGCTGCCTTGGAAATAACACAGAAGCTTCTGCAGAAATAACCCTGTAATTCAATTTCTGTATCTTTCAAGGTGGCTGGTGAACCTGTCAAGGGATTCAGAACAAGAGAGTTTGAATAACTTCTTAGTTTCCTGGCCTTACCATCCTTTACTCTCTATAAGGAGAGCCATAGGCCTGGTGTTACCCATGACCTAGTATACATTCTGGCCTCCTTTATTAGTGTATCAGTCAGCTTTCCTGTCATTGAGACCAATACTCAACACCAAGACCTTAAAGGAGAATTTTAATTTGGATCACAGTTCAAGGGATGCAGTCTATGGTTGATGGATCCAAGGCAGAAATATCATGGTGGAAGAGTGTAGCAAAGCAAAGCTGCTGAGTTCATGGTGGCTGGGAAGCAGAGCAGGGGACTAGCACCAAAGAATGAGCAAGGCACCAAGTATAGTACCCAAGGTCACATGTCCATGACCCACCCAGACACACCCAGGAGCATCCTTTACTAATCTGCTAGGTAGTTCTTAATCCAACAAAATTGACATATCAGCATTAGTGGTTGCATTAATAGGAAAGGGGGCTGTAGGATAGTCCTCAAACCTTCCTACAAGTGCAACTTAGCCATTTTGCCCTGTTTTTAGGGTCTTACTTCTAAGACCAAGTTCCCATTTGTACCCTTTTTCCAATCAGACACTCAGAGTCTCTTTCCAGACTTCACCAAAGCTGAGTGCTGCCTGGACACAGTATATCATGTTCTTCCTTTGTAAATGGTCCTTGTTCCATATTTGCACCTGAGTTGCTTCTCAGCCCCCACCTCTCTCCAAGCCAGTGTGCATATTGTTGCCACACTGCAGTCTTAAATCATTCGTTCAACACTGACCATGCAGACATTGTATCTCAGAACACTCTGCTGAGCACTTGGGTTTCAGAGAAGATTCAGTCCCTACCTTCCAGAGGCTCTGATTTCAGTTTGACTTAGTCCTTCAATGTGCATCCTGTTGTGAAATAGCAGAGTTAAGGGAAGGATAGCATACCTTCCCTTGTCAAAAATTGACAACTTTTTCAAGGAAACAACAACAACAAGAAAATCCCACAAGTCCTCTGTGAACCTTGCTCCAGCTATTAGCCCAAAGCCTTTCCCTGGCTCTGATCAGCCCACAGTGGCCAGAAATGACAGGACTCCATGAAGGAGCCTGACTTTCTAATGGGGAAGATGCTTCTGCCCACTCTCTGAGACAGATGCACTACTAGATCCCTTGGTTCAGTTAATAAAACTTGCCCTTGTTTTCCTAATGTCCAGTGCCTGAAGTGGCAAGGCCATGGCCAATAAGTGCTACAGTAACAAACCAGAGAACACAAGGAGCCTAGAGCTACTCCGTGCCTTTTATTGAATTTGACAAATATCCAATAACCTAGGTCTCTTGCCTACTCTACTAGAACATTTGATACAAATTGCATGGAGGCTTGGAGGGAAGAATATTTCAAAAGAGAAGTGCTAGTAACGGTGGTGCCTCCTGGCCTTCAAGAGCAGTGGAGTATGAGTGTGAAGAAAGCTTCCAGGTGCTTTTCCGAAGGTCTGTTGTGACTGATCCTGGATTCTTAGGTGATAAATCCACTGACAGAGTATCTGATCTTGGGTAAATAAAGATAACTGACATTCAGGAAGCATTTTACCGGTTTCCAAACACTTGCACACATATCATCTCAGGGGATGCTCATATCAACCCTGAGATGATTCCCTGTTTTACAATTGAGGTGACTGATACACAGAAAGTTTAAGAGATTATCAAGGTCACATGACTGATACATGGGACAACCAAGGCTGAAGCTCAGATCTTGAGTTTATATCTCATGGTCTTTTGACTTTTCATTTCTTACAGTGCCCTCTGTGCTCAACGTTTAGAGGGTTTTAGGCCTCGTTCTCTCCTAGACCTAGAGGGAGCATTAAAGAGATGGACTTTGATCATGTTAAGTAAAGAGATTTGGGGACAGGCCTTCTTTATGGTGTGTCCCCTTCTTTATTGTTCTCACTGATTCCCAGTGCCTTCAGCATGGGGCCTGATGTGTACAACAAAGGAGCAGCACAGAATTAATGCCTTCTGGAAGCTGTTTTATAGGAGTGCGGGAATTGGCTACGCCGTGTCAGTGTTCTTTGCTTTAAGGGGTGATGGAGGCACTGTTTAGATGTGCTCTTTCTGGTCAGGCTGCAAGGAGGACATTCTACAACTAAAGGCAGAACCAAAGGTTCCAAATGTCACTGTCCATCACTCAAAATCTTGTACAAGCCATCCTGCTACATCCTTCTTGGATGTGAGAAAACTTGCAGCCCATATGCCCAAAAGCACACCCAGCTCCCTGGGAGCTCAGGGCAAGAGGCAGACAGGTCTGGAGAGAGTGGCTGGTGTAGGTCAAGAGGGCAGCTGATCAGGTGAACAAATTCTCTAGGCAAGGTTCAGAGGGTCATGGGTAGATGTTTATCTTTGCAGCCCAGTGTGCTTCTAACCACTTGAAATTCTCCTAAAAACCCAGGAGGACAGTTGAAAAATCCCGAGTAATATGAAAATGAATAAAAGCTCAGCAAACAGAGCCCACTTTCTGAGCAAACAGCTAAAAAGGCAAGCAGGCAGAACAGTAGAGAGGAGAATGCAAAAGGAGGATTGTGAATAGGAGGGGGCAAGGGAAGGTGGGTCAGGGCAGGGTGTAGCTTTCATTGTTCTCTCTAATGGAGACACTCACTCCACCACCTGTCTCCCTAGTGGTGAGAAAATCGATGCAAAGAAAACATTTTTCTCAAGTTTAGGGTGGACAGAGAGACTTTGGTGAAAAATGCCTTATGGTCTGGTATTTTTCCATAGTGGAAGGGAAATTTGAAATAAGGGTCCATGAACACAGACCCTGAACCTTCCTACAAATTAGAAGGCCTGATTTCCAAATCTAGCTGTCACTGTGTGACTTTGGGTATAACCCTACTTTTGTGGGCTACAGTTTGCTTATTAACAAGTTGAAAAGACTGGACTACATGCCTTCAAGAGAGATCCTTTCAGCTGTAATGCTCTGTAGTTTTTATTTTACCTTCACTGACAAAGACTTAGATAGGTGTAGCTTGTTGAGCTGTGCTGAAACCCTTTGGAAGCCTATTCCCTGAGACACATTTGTGACATAGACTGTGATGTGGACTGCTCACATGTGAGCAGGAACCAGCAGAAAATGTATTCTTGGATATTCTGAGTTAAACCAGGGTGGGACCAAATGTAGAGCTGCTTCCTTTTAACAGTGATGAAGGTGACTTTAGAGGCTCTAATGTTTATAATAGTGACAGTTTTTTTAGTGTTTACCTTGGAGAGCTCAGGCACCTTGCCCGTGATCATGTAACTCAGGCTTCACCCAGGGCTGAATGATACAGGGCCCCTCCATACCACTGCAGACACAGACTTCTATGACCTATGGTCCTAGGGAAGAGAACCGTGGATGTTTAGCAGCAGTAGACAAAAACCTGGCACCCTACCTCCCGGAATGGAGGTCATCTATTCCCTCATGGGAGCACAGAGAAGACACGCTGTGGGGCTCTGTCCTCTCAGTGTGCTGGGCCCTGTGCACTGAAGTGCTGCCGGCTCCTACAGGACATAAAACCATGGCCTTTTGCTTGTTTGTTTTCAGTTTTTTAATAAACTAGGGGACAGGCAAGTTGTGTCGCAACCATTGTGCCGAGAAGGTCGGCAAGAATGTGCAAACAAGGGCACAGTGGGGATGCAAAGAGTGGTCTGCAGCAAAGGGGACTTGACCTGGAGCTGGGCCTGGATCCGGCCCTGGTCAGGACTCTGTGGGTAATGGCCCTTGGCGCCTCTGTTAGTTGTGAGGCTCCTCACCAAATATTCAAGGCCTTTGGAAGACTAAACTAATCACCTGTCAAAGATCTTAGCATAAATAGAAACTCTTGCTTTAGGTGAAAGGTCAGAGCAGGGGTGCTAAGAAAATGCTCAACTCCATGTGTATTTTCTTTTCCTTTTGTTTTTTTGGTACCAGGGATCAAACTCGGGTCCTTGTGCTTGCAAGGCAGACGACAGAACCACTGGGCTGAATCCCCGGCCCTCCGTGTGTATTTCTATGTACTGGTTATCGGCCAGGTCCAGCCTGGGTGGGGCATAGAGATAAGTAAGGCAGCACAGCTAGTGACACATTGCTTCCTTCAGGCAGGCAGTCAACAAACACTGAGTGCCTACTGTGTGCAAGGCTTTCTTATAGGGGCAAGTTACAGAGATAAACAAGGTAAAGTCCTTTCCATCAGAGCTTTCATGTTCTAAGTGGAGATGGGAGAATGAACAAACAAGGAAGCAAGTATAGAAAAAAGAAAATGTTAGGTGTTGCTATATGTGGTGAGGAAGACAAAGTAGAGTCCCTTGGGAGAGTGCCTGGGCAAGGTGTTGAGGGAAGGCTATCCGAGGATAAGATGTTTGGACTGAAACTGATGGATAAGAAGGTGGCAGCCGTTTGTGGATAGAAGGAAAGAGCATCTAAGCAGAAGGAAGAGCAAGAGAAAGTCTCTGGAAGAGGCCCAGAGTGTGCCTGGGAATTAGTAGGCAAGAGGCAGAATGAAGAGAAGTGAGGATGGGAGACAGGAAAAGGCCTCTGAGACAGTCTTAGAAAGCCACACGTAGGCATCCGGATCCGACTTGCAGTGGGACGACATTAGAGAGCTGTAAGGGAGAGACAAGGAGAGCTAACTGTGCTTTAGAAGCCACTCTGGCTACTGTGTGAGTCTAGGAGACCTGACAGGAGGCTCTCATGGGTTGATCCTGGCCATGGCAGTGAAGATAGAGCAACATTGTAGCATTCCATTCACCATGGGAGTAGAAGCAGGAGAAGCTCCTGATGTATAGCATGGGAGTGAGGAAAAGGAAGGAACCAAGATTGACTGTAGGTTTTCAGCAACTGAGTGAAGAGTGCACTTTTTACTTAGGTGGGGGAAGGTTTGGCAGGAGTGAGTGTATGGGTGTGAGGGGGGAAATTAATCTGCTCTGAATATGTTAAGTCTAGGATGCCTTTGAGACACTCAAGATGTTGAGTAGACAGTTGAATACAGATGTCTGTGGATCTGAGAAGAGTAACACCTAGAGATGTCAATCTGAGAGGCCTGAGTGTATGCGGAGGTATTTATAGTTACAGGATAGATAAGATCACACAGGGAAGTGGGGGGAGACCATACAAGAAGGAAAAATACTTTTAGAATATGCCAACATGGGAGACTGAGAAGGAGTGCTAGTGAAATATGAGAAAAGTCAAATGAGTGAAGTATCAGAACCTGGAGGAGAAAGTGTTTTTGAGAAGCAGCAATTGACTGTGCCGGTTGTTGCTGGGAAGCAAAGATGAGGACAGAGAATCAGCTGTTTGCTTTGGCATAATATAGTTACTAGTCATCTTGGTAATTGGTCGGCAGTGGAGTGGTAGACAATAAAGCCTGGTTAGAATAGGTAGAGGGAAGAATGAAAGATGAGAAAGTGAGAATAGATGCTCCTTTGAACAGACTATCTAGGAAGGAGAGCTCTGAAAGAGGTAGAGAATGGAGCAAGAAATAGGAACAAGAGAGGGCATATTTAAAGGAGGATTGTATGGAGGCTTGTTTCTACACCAAGGACAGGATCCAGTAAAGAGGGAGAAAATGGTAGTACAAGAAGAAATAAAACAGTTGAGAGCCCAGTGAAGGTAATGGTCTTAGAAACCAGGGCTTTTTTTCTAGTGTAGCTGTGAGATGAGATGGTTTTTCTAGTGTGGGGGGGGGGGGCGAGATGGCCAGAGTATCTTGGTTCTGAGACAGATACAATAAAGAACTTATTGATGGGAAGATGAGGTAGTTCTCATCTCATAGAAATCTATTTTGTCTGTGAAATATACTGCAAGGTCATCAGCTGAGAATGAGGTAGCAGAGAGGGTGCTGGGGACTTGAGCAGAGAAAAGGAAGTATGATAGCTTCCCCAGAGATTGGGAAATTGAATTTTTCTAAGGAAGTATAGTAGGTTTTTCTGACAGGACTGAGTGAGATTTGTGGTCATATTTGTTATGAGTCTAGTCAGCAAATTTTTGTTATTTTTCTCCAGCAGTGTTCAGTTGCTCTGGTCCAGGTCCTGAATACATGGGTAGGATACCACGGCTGGAGTTCTGTGAGGCTAAGGGAGTGGAAGGGTTGCAAGGTTATGTTACCAGCAAGGGAGCAGTTAAAGTGTTGGATTGTGCAGTCAGAACCAAATAAGGGGAAGGGAGCACATGCAGGGAACCACAGAAATGGATAACAAAAAAGTGATTTTCATGAAATGAGGTTAGAGAATTGCTAAAGTGTTGATGTAAGTAAACTAGCTCTTAGGAAGGCAGTGATGTTCAGAAAATAGGAGATTGGAAATCTACCTGGTGGAAGAATTAGTGGAAGAATGGTGGAGGAATTACTGATTCTGGTGCTAAAGTCATCCATAAATGAGGAGGAACAACCAGAAGTTTGGTAAAATAGCATCATTATAAATGTAGGAGAGGTCATGAGGTCTGACAATAAATGCTTCAAGGGCGCTTGGGCTTTGGAAGAAGAAAGAGAAATAGTTCAAAAACTATAGTAGGGAGCAAGGAAGACACATACCTACATCCCTGCCCTGACACAAATGGAATATGGAAGATGGCCTCTACTAGAAAGGACTTCTGAGGAGGCACATCCTGTGGTGGAAACTGGATTTCACTTAAAGCAAAAAGCAAAGGAGACACTCAGGACCAAGATTTCCAGAGGGCCAAGAATGTAGGGAACAGCATGAGGCTGAGTATACTGTGGTGTATAATCTGGGAGGGTTAGACTCTGGAAGACAGCTCAGGGGAGTGAGAAGCAGTGGCCTGATGGGACCAGTGGTGAAGGCACAGCAGTCCATGACTGAGAATACTGTACTGGGATGGCTGGTCTTGGCTTATGAAGGGGATGTGGGGCCTTCAGTTGAAGGCTGGGAAAATGAAAGGATAGCCTGCTGGAGTTAGTTTGATATGGTTACTAAAGAAATGGGTGGTCCATCTCTGGAGGTACATTAGCTGTTTGCAGATGTAATGGAAAGTTAGAATCATCTGGAGAATGTCAAAGAAAGAAAAGCATTTCAGGCGGCTGGGGATTTAGCTCAGCAGCAAAGCACCTGCCTGGCAAACATGAGGTCCTGAGTTCAATCCCTGGTACCAAAAAGAAAAGCATTTCAGATAGCCCCCAACCAACTCTTTCACTTTTCAGATGAAGAAACTGAGGCTCAGAGGGATAAGATAACTTGTCTAAGGTCATCAAACTAATAAGTTTTATTTAGAACAGAGGTATGTGTATAGTTTGTGTACACTGCTGAGCCTATGGCTACCTGGAAGGAACAAGAATCTTGGGGAAGTCAGTTCGCCCACCCTGGGAGAACACTCTGGCTGTGCCTGTTTTTCTTCTTGTGGTCGCCATGCTTGCTCCCAACAGGGATCTGTGGCTTGGAAGGACCACTAGAAATCCTGATTTTCCCTCCCTGTTACCCCATGTGACACCTTGATCAGGTGCCCTTGCTAGTCTGGCTTTAGGCTCTTAGCTGTGGTGATAGGCATACCTCTGTAGCAATAAGTAGGTGTAGTGGCCGGTGAAGTGCCATGGGTAAGGCTGTACCCAAACCTCTCAGACTGGGATCCCCATGGGATTCCTTGGAATGCCCTCCATTGTGAGCAAATGAATGAATCATTTATTGAGTACTTATCCTGCACCCATGCACCACCTCCATGAAGGTCAAAACCTAGTTGATGACATCAGACTTGTACCTGGGGACTCACCAGTTTAGTGATAGAATGGACTTGAGCAGTCTTTGGATTCAATTGCTTCACATTTCAGACAAGAAAATTGAGACTGGGAGCAGCAGCACAGAGTTCTATTTAGGTCTGTGAACTCATAGTCCAAAGCTCAAGGGCTGATGTAGCTCAGTGGCACCACACCTACCTGGCAAGTGCAAGATCCTGAGTTCAATCCCCAGTATCGGGGGAAAAAAAAAGAAAAAGGTCTATATTGTCTTCTTATTTGTTTTGCAATGTCTGACCCAAGAGGTATTCTCAGATATGGGGCTTTGCCCATCTCTCTCTCTCTCTCTCTCTCTTTTTTTTTTGTACCGGGGATCAAACTTGGGACCTCTAGCTTGTGAGGCCAGGCGCCAGAACCACTGAGCTAAATCCCCAGCCTGCCCATCTCTTACTGGCAAACACCTTGGAAGTAGAACCAGGGAGAGCTGGCCCCCACCCTAGGCCAGGAGTATCTGCTCAGGGAGTCACAGTGTCTAGGGGGCCCTTTGGCTGTTAGTGAACATGGCCTGATGAGCCAGCTCCTGCTTTTCAGCCCTTCTCTCCGTTCAGCCTGCGCAAGTGTTAAATACAGCATCAAATTAAGCAAAATTAAATACATTTCCATGCAGCGTTTTTCTCTTGACGGAATCAAACAATGCAGTTGCCATAGCAACAGCCTCTTCTGAAAAGGTCACCTGCAAGAAACTGTGTTTTAGGTACAACTCAAGGAGATTATGGGGGATTAACTCATTTTATACATATATATTAAATATATTTTTTTCTTTAAAGGGACTGTTACGAAGGACTAATATCCAACTGAGCCGGAAGATACCCACAGAAAAAATTTTAAGTCCCTGATAAAGAATTTTTTTTTTTCCTTCTTTCTTTCCCTTTTTTTTTTTTTTTTTTTTTTTAACCAGCATGCAGTGGGGTGATATCTGAAATGGCGACTTTGTGTTTTTACTTGGCTTTAATTAAACCTCAGTCAGGGCTGAGAAATGTGGTGAAGCGAGATAATTGCACTATTCCCAATACAGTTTTTAAACTCTGGCTTTGATATGCACCTCGTGACAGCCTGAACCTGCACCCACACTCTTGGGGCTGCTTGAAGCTCAGCTTATAACCGCCCCTCTTAACCTGTGGGCATCTGGGAGACACCCATGGGTATCTTGATTGTGAAATGAAAAAGATGGGAATAGTGAGGTCCATCTGTACTGAGGCAAGGACAGGCTGTGTCTACCCTAAAAAGTTCATGTCTGGCATTGGGGTCTTCTCCATCGGACTTTCAGGGAAGGACTGGCATGGGCCCATCTAGTCAGGAGCAGTGGGATAGGTCTTCTCTGGCTTTTCCATAACTTAAAGATATCTTGAGGACACCTTTATTAGATCTGAGTGAAAACAGGCTGCCTGGTGTAAACTCCTTTGTAAGTGGCACAGGTGATATGAGAAGTAAATGCATGTTTCTATTCAGTGTCCACCATATGGAGCCTGTGCAGAGCGCTCACAGAGAGCCTCCCTGTGTCCCACATCGCTCCTCACACGACCTGCCCAGCCAGCCCATGGTGGGGCAGATGGGGCTGTTTTGCTTCCAGAGTGACTGATATCTTTGGGTCAGCTGTACAAGGAGTTTGCCTGACCTCTTCTCATTCACCTACTTGGTCATGCTTGTTTTCCAGAAGGGCACAGGGTGCAGGCCAGGGGGCTGAGTGTTAGGATAGATGGAGAAAGAGAGAACTGTGCCCGGTTTCTGAGTACTTGCTGGACAGCTTCTCTGGATCCCATTCTAGAGCTTGCAGGCCAGTGCTGACCACCATGGCCCCCTCTCATGAGGTTCAGTTTCCCCTGGAGCTCAGGGCCATGCTAGAGTCATGGCTCCCTCTGGGCCTATAAGAGTCTGTTACAGTTTGGGTCTAGATGTTCCCTCCAAACCTCATATGGTCATAGGTGGGGCCTTTTCAGAGGTGGCTGAATCTAGAGTGTGTGATACTGGGATTAAGGGTGCGTGATTACTAAATCAGTTCACTGACTGGTTTGGCATTGCTCTAATTCTGGTAGTCGCGATAAGATAAAGGGGTCAGAAAGATGCTGTTAAGATTCCTTTGTTACTTTTGCTATGTTCTGCCACGGTGAACTGTTGCCCGTCTGCCAAGCCACTCTGCTTTGAAGCCAGCCAATTACTAACTGAAACCTCTACAAAACTGTGAGCTAAATAAACCTTTCCCTCTTTAACTTTGGGTGTCGGGTATTTTGTTTCAGCAATGAGAGCAAAATAACTAAGAGTTTGTGACTAGCACCATTGGAATGATAGCAGGATGAAAGGGGTTGAAATCCTCAGATACATACATGTGATTCAGCCACATAAGACTCCAGGTATGCATAGAACAGCTCCAATTTATACGAATACTCTCAGAAATGTTTCCTCAACACCATTCTGATGGATGACTTGCAGAAACCTAGAACTTCTTTCCCTTTCTGTCCCAGACTCTAATCCCTTCTCTTAATTCACCCTAGTGCTAGACAAGGTAGGCTCATGTGGTGTAGTTAAGGGAGAGAGCTTGGGAGATAGGCAGATGTGGATTTGAATTCTGGCTGGCCACTAAACAGTTGAATGCTTCTCTCTTTCCTTATCCATCAAGTGGGAGTAATAAGAGCCACTGACTTAAATCATAGGTCCTTATAGGGTTGTTCTGAAGATTAAATGAAATGACCTCAGGGAAAGTGGCTGGATAACACAGTCGCTCAATGGATGTTTGTTGACTATTTCGAGAACATGACTTTTGTACAAAACAAACCATGTGTTTCCTTTCCTGTGAAATCCAGCCTTTCAGCCTGGGGACCACTGCAGAGATTAAAGAAGAAACAGCAATTTCTGTCTCTAATCCCTTAATACAATCACTGGAGGCTTTCTTGAACTCTTAAGAAAAGCAAATCTACAGTTATCCAGGAAAGAATTTTATTTTTAGTGCAACTCAGCCCTTTAAACTCATATGCACCATTAAAACAAGATCCCTGAGTGCATAGCCAGACTAGAGGGACCTACGTGAACACCACTGTCCCAAGTAGAGAAGTAGCAGCCTTTGAGTGACCCAAATCCAGCTCATTTCTCCATTTAGAACAAGCTGGAGCTGCATCGCCATGACAATGCTGTTGTCCTGGTTGCTTGATTGGTTGCCCTATCTTGGGTTCCACTGCTGAGCTTGTCAAGTGAGATAACCCAAGTCCCTTCAGAAGATAGTTGTCAAGGAGACGCTCTCTGCCAGCTCCCAGCTAGTGGTGTTAGTGTGTGGGCTTTGTAGACACAAAATTGGGCTTCAAACCTGCTTCTGCCAACTTTTAGCTGTTGGGGTTAGTTACTTCCTACTGAGGACCTCAGTTCTTGATCTGTAAAATGGGAATATGTTTTTCATCTCATAGTATCATTGCTAGGTTTAAATGAGGTGACATGTATGACATTTGTAAAATGCTTACCACCATGACTGACACATAGCAGCCTCAGTCTGTGTCAGTGTATTCAGATATCAGAACCAGTTTGAGGGCTTGCTTTTCTTTCTTTCTTTTTCTTTTCTTTCTTTTTTTTTTTTTTCGTTCTTTGCTTTCTTTCCCTCTTTCTTTCTTTCCCTTTCTTTTTTGTACTACTAAGGATCAAATCCAGAGCCTTTCTACCCAGACTTGCCCTGAACTTGTGATCCTCCTGCCTCAGCCTCCTAGAGTGCTAGGATTACAAGTGTGTCTCACTACCCAGGCTGGAGAGTTTCTTAAAGCATAAACTGTTGGTTACTGATTTGGGAAGTCTGAGATATGGGACCTAAAACACTGTACTTCAAACAAGTTCTAGGACCACACTCTGAAAAGCATAGTCCTCCATAATCAGTGAGAGAAATGTCTATTACATTTGAGCTTTATAGGTGTCTGGCTTTGTTTCTGAAAGGTTCCAAGTGGGTTTAGAGGACTGAATTCAGACTATTGCTGTCCAGGAGCGCTTTCCATATCTGTGCTGGTCAATTTAGTAGCCACTCGGTGCATGCAACAATGAAACATTTGAGATGAAGAACTGAATTTTACATTTAAATTTAAGTAGCCACATGTAGCTAAGTGCTACCATATTGAACAATGAAGAATAGATTCTCATGGGTATAGCTTAGGGAAGGTGTATCAATTAATCAGGAAAATGAATGGTTAAGTGGATGCCACCTCAAAAACTGAGACTGGGATCAAGGCACAGCATTGCAGCCACCTGCTCCCTCTACCTAAGAACCTTCTCTGATAACCTTAGGGGCTAACTAATGAATCTCCACCTTTCCCTCATATACCTGGATATCTAGGTATGCTTCTCAATGGAAGAAGCAAAAACAATTAAAATATAGAAAACAGGGTTTGAACATCACATGGAATAAATAATGATAGACGTCTTAGAGGCCATGACATCTCCTCTCAAAGAACATGCACTAGGGCCATAGCCTATTGTTTCAGGGACAGAATAAAATAAAGACATTTTCTGGAGTGTAGTAGGAATCAGAAAGTAGTGTGATTTGTTCTGGTTAGTAGCTAGAAAGATCAGTGAAAAAGAAAACTTTGTGTGACCACAGTTAAGACAGTAGTAACAATCTGAGGGAGAGGAACTAATTCTTCATGCCAGTGGAGAATAGGGAAGAAGAGAATGGTATGGGTGGTCAGGATGGAGAGGTGTTTGTCAACTTAGGACATTTCTGTTAGTGGTAAACTGATAAAATGTTGCTATTCCAGAGTCACCCTGACAGTGTTTGCCCTAAAATCTTTCATCTCAGGCTGTGTCTAATGCTATAACATGGCATTCAAGATCACTGGTTCTGAGAGTTACAAAGGTGTGGCTCAACTGCCACTTAGGAGCGGTAGGACATTAGACAAATAATGTGACGTTTCTAGCCTTGGTCTTTTGATCTGTAAATAGAAATAATAATGGTACACACTGTAGGGCTGTTTTAAAACTAAATGAGACAGTACATCTCAAGAGCTTTACACAATGCCTAGCACATGGCAAGTACTCTTTAGATGGTTGCTGTTACTATGTTACCTACACCTACATCACTGACCTCCCTCCTAGTTTCTGCAGCGAGTTCCCCCTTGGGTTGTCACTTATGGGCATTAGAAAGGCTCAGACCCTGGGAGTCCTTCCTGAGTGTGTCTTATCCTGGACCTCTCACTTGGGTAGAGGTGACTTCTCTGCCGACAGCCTGCAGGGTTGTGCCTCTCTTCCACAACAGCCTTGATGGATTGTCGTGCCTGATAGCGCCAAGACACAAGAAATAACATCACCAGAAAACCAACTTAAGCCTGGCCTGATTTAGTACAGAGAAAATGACAGCTGTTGTGCTCGGCTGGCTTCCACCCAGCAGAAGGCTATTTTTTGCAAATAAAATGGTAAGTTGCTAATCAGAAAGATAAATTAAGAAGCATTAAGATAATGATGGTCTAATCACCGTCCACACAGAGAATTGCTAGAGTGAATATCCAGGCTACTGAGTGCTTGAGCACATTTGGTGATTATTTGTATTATGAAGGGAATGATGGATTCCAGGCATGGAATCAATCTAGCTTAGGAAACCCACAA